AGGTTTTTTGAAACTAAACTAGTACTTTATGATTGGTTTGGGTTGAAACAATAAAGCTTTGAAGCTGTATGCAAGATTTACCCCACTAGAGAGAGTAGTGAGAGAAATTTGGCTAGAAAAGGTTAAAGCTTATAATGAGGGGTAATCAATGATAATACATGTAATCGTGTGTGAATTGTAGAATTGATAGCAATAAGGTGTGTTATTATGATAATTGGCACTTTTGTCAATAATAAAATTGACTTTAGGTTGCCAATTTTGTGTAGATTCTAGTATGTGATGCACGAATTATGAAAAAGGAGCTTGAATAGGGTTGTTGGAACACACGTAACCCTTTCTAGTAAGCAGAAGGGTTGAGATAACTATATAATTTTTTATATTTATTAACTATTATAATTGTGTTGAAGTAAATATCAAATGAGAAATTATGGTTTTATGAGTTTTGTGCATGATTTGTTATTGCAAATGGTTTTAGCATGAACATTAGTTTGTGAAATGCAATGTGAAATGTTAATTGATTTTAGCTGTTATATGTGTGTGTATATATATATGCTAGGTAAATGCAAAGGAAAGTAGTGATAATTGTGAAAAGAGCATAATCATAATGGGTGGGAGTTCGTCCAGGATAAGTGGGGATGTGTGTGTGTAAAGATATGTTGGTGAAAAATCTATATGGTCGAGCTAGCACTATGGGACATCTGGTACAGCATTATATGAGCTGGTACTATAGGTAATTTGATGCAGCATATCATAGGACTATTACCATAGGACATCCAGGCAGTTTGATGTAATGTCTACCTTGACATTACCAAAATTCACCACATAATCACAATAAAGAATGATAATTAGGAGCAAGGAAGCTCATATTAAATATAGAAGGGTTAAAACTAATAATCTTTTAGAAATAATTTTGAAATATTTGAGATCCCATAAAAACCCTTCAAATAAGTAGTTTGAGCTTAAACTTAATGATTTATAAATATATTGGAAGCATGGAAAAGTTTTGGGGAGCAAAATACTTGAAAATAGGACCAAAAATGTCATTCTTAAATATTTTGGTATATGTGCTACGGCTCGTGGTCCATGTACTGCTACATGTGGCATAGAGAGGCCAATTTGGCCGCTATACTGTGTGCTACAACTTGTGTGTAATGCACCGTGGCATATGTGTCCCTGTCATGACAGCAAAAATGCTATCATGATAACTTTTTAGGATGAATTTTGAACGACCGCCATTTTCACATTAGATGTCCGATTAGAGTGATTCAAGTGCCACATGAAACTTATTCAATAAGCTAACTAATGATACATGTTTCGTTACAATCTGACACCATATGAGAATTTTAAACACTCAGATGCAAAAGTTAATTTTTAAAATGATTTTTAAGTATCCAAGTACCCAAAACTCAAAACTTATACTATTAACCCATTTTGAGGCTTGAACCAAGTCTAATGAACTAAAATACACCTGATTGAGCATTCAAACACACAAAAAACATACCAAACACAAAATTTGGCCACTTAATGCCAATTTCACCCAATATGGCCAAAACACAAAATCAACACTATATATACTATTTGGCCTCTATTGCCACAGAATACACCACATATACGTTATCACCATATATATAAAACATTCCTTGCACTTGTCTTAGTATTTTAGCCCATCACCATAAAAATCACCACATATTCACATCATATACAATATTAGGCTAAAATACAAAATAACATAGTATAATACAAGTGTAACCAATCAAAATGACATGCATTCCTAGTTGGCAACATATAATATCATATCACTGAGTTTATGTACACCACTTAAACAAAATCAGGCATTACTATCTGTAATATAGCAAATCTGCTAATCCTTGCCTAATTACTTCCCTTGATCAAACTCAGTGGTAGAACCTTTAAAATCATAACCACGGGGTGAGATAAAAATCTCAGTAACTAAGATAATCTACAATATCGAATAACATGCCAAGTTATAAACAAGCTTTCAAACATGCATAACAAATACACCATATACAATTACTACAATTCAAATGCATGATTACTAATCATCTGATCCTCCAATACTCTTGACTAAATTGGTAAGCTATTTCATGGAACCAAACCACATGTATGGTCCCTAAGCTCACTATCCATGGTAGGACTACCCGGCCAAGGTGTCCTAAACCACTTTTGGACTACAGGTTCTCCCTATTACAAGTAATTAGGGTGTTGTTACTCTAACACCACTTCTTGCGGATGCTAAGGAGCATAGTCTCCAACTCCACAACCTTCTGGGTACTAGAGAGAGTAAATCTCCAACATTGTACCTTTTTTTGGGTACTAAGGACAAATATGAGTTGCACCTAATGTCCTGAGATACCAGCAGTGCCATATGGACTTAATCTCCTCTAACTCCACTAGGGTGACCTCCCACCCTCTAATATGTCACATTTCACTACATATATCCACTTGACCATGGATAAACCACTTTCTAAACTAATATAATGAATCTTACCACTTACTTCAAAAATATGATATTTTACAAATTAATACTCCACTCATTTTCTAAAATAATTAACTTTACAAAATTTATACATATATACATAACAAATCATATAAGAATAATTTGAGAATAACTTATACAAGGTAATAAATAATGTAAATTATCTAGTTATCTTAACCCTTTTGTTACTAGAAAGAGTTATCCGTGATACTAAATCTCTTCTTGTATCAATGCAAGTTTTCCCATACCACAATCTACATCAACAAGTACTATATGTTAATTTTCAATTAATACAAGCACTATTAGCTATCAATAACATCCCAATTCTCCCACTTCTCACTCATATTCTCAACAAAAAGGCTTGTCAAGATTACAATTTGTCTACACATTTCCCGCAAGCCTCCCTCTAACTCTATCACAACATAACATTCAATATCTCAACTTGTCTCACTTTAAAACCCCACAACCAAGCTAGGGCTTGATCTAACTTACACCAAACAATAGTTTAGCTTTATATTACCACTTATCTAAGGTTAAGAAACTTAAATGAAACCTTTAAAGTAAATTGAAATCTTTAATATATAGACCCATAGCTTAATTCATTCAGAGCAAATTCTTCCACTTCTAAATTCCATAAAAATGAGATGAAAAGGTAGAGGAGAAGGGTAGTAAACTTACTTAAGAGTTTAAAGGCCTAAATTATCTTCAAAATCCTCCTAAAATGAAGCCCTAATAGTGCCTAAAGCCTTCTCCTTCGTGTTCCAAGCTTTCTCCCGCCAAAACTGACTTTTTCTGATTATTTTCGCATTTTATGCCTGTGTTGTACCATGCACTGCAGCACACGACACACAAGTCATAGCTCACGATGCAAAAAGCAAAAGCTCACTTTTGTTCCCCTTGATGCCACCCGATTTGATCCAACTTCTATCCTAACTCAATTTAAAGCCAAATATGACCTAAGAAGCTAATTAGCAACCCAAAATATAATTAAATTAATTAATTATTTCTTAACTAATTTATTCCTTAATTAATCAATTTATTCCATATTTAAGGTTTTCAGATGTTACACATGCCACGGCGCACGGCCTACTTTTTATGTGAATTGGACTATTTTAAATTGCATTTTGATTTGCTTGTGTCTTGTGCTTCCGCAGTGTAATATTTAATTATTTGAATATATTATTATATGATTTTGGAAATATTTTTTTATCCCAAAGTTTTTAATTAAATAATTTAAAATTGATTAGTAGATTGTTAGAAGGGTTGTATGGTGATAGAAAATTAGTCGCTTATCCTCAAAATTATACTAAAGCTAACCCTAATGCAATATAGGGCCAACCCTAGGTCATCTCCCAAAGAATGGTTTTAAGTCTAATTGAAAGTTATCTAGTGAAATAAATGAACCAAAGTTTGTAGGAATTTAGTTACCTAGCTAATTATCTAAACTAAATACCTAATGTGCAAGTAATTAAAATGCTAGTGAAAGTGAGTGAAATGAACTTCCCTTTTCACAATAATGGAACCCTAGAGATTAGTTGATTTTGGACTCATTATCTTCTCATGATTAGGCTAAATTTAGCTTCCCTTTCCTCTTGACTAAAGCTGTCATGACTTAAGAAAATTATCCTAAGCCAATTAACCTAATTAGCTAACCTCCCTGGGTCTTAGATTAAAGTCCCTAGTTCAATTGACCAATTAGTGAAGACATTAGCCAAGTGATTCACTCAAAATCCTCTCTCAACAGCCATGGTGAAACATATTAATTGAGCAACCACAAGATTATGTCAAGCTACTCAACAACACAAGCATTAACACCACAAGATTATGCAATATTAACACAAGATATTCACTAATTGAAAAACACAAGATTATGTGCCAAACAAAGAGTGGCAAAATTCAGTCATGGCTGTCCAAGGAAGAAATTAAATGAAACAATCCTCTCTCTTTACATCAACATCAAATTCAAATTAGAATTTATAAGCTAAGATGATTAAACCCTAGATTAAGGAATCTAACCATCTAGTAAAAAGAGAAGAGGATAGGAAACAAAAGAACTTAGCCAATTTGAAGCTCAAGACTCATCCTCCATCTTCATCTCTCTAGGATTCCACAAAGAAACTTAGCCAATCTTCATCTTCAAGAACCCTAGTGATTGCTTGTGAAGGCCAAATTCCATAGCTCTTGAATGATGGAAATGAGCTTCAATCCTTGTGAAAATGGAAGGGATGGAACGAAAATGAAGAGAGGAGAAGAATGGTATGAGTTTTGTGGAGGTTTGGTGGCTGAAAATGGAGGTTAGGGTGCTGGAAAATGAAGAACAAAAGAGAGAAAATGAAGAACACTATGAACAAGAGAGAGAGAATGTGGAAGATGAATGAGATACGTGTTGGATCCCATTTGGGGCTTAAAATGGTGTGCTCCTTGGTGTCTCCCATCAGCTGAAGCTTAATTAAAATAAGGAAAAAGAAATTAAAATGTAAATGGGAGCCTTGTCATACTTGCAAGGTGGCAACTTCCTATTGGTTTGTAGATGATTCCAATGTGTGCCTAATTTTCCATGTGTCATCCACATCATTTTAGCTGATTTAATCCCTCAAAATAATCATAATTCACGTGCAAACCATCAGCCATTGACCTCAAGGAGTGTTGACCTCAATTGCCCAATTGATGCACAAGTCACATGCCACCTATATCACATAAATTACATAAATCAATTAAATAGCATATGATATAATAAAATCTAATTCATGTCCAGAATTAAATTCATAATTAGAAAGGAGAATTTGTTAAATTAACCAAGTTTCAGGCTGCACAAAATTATATAAAAATTTTCACACAAAGGCAAACTAAAAACTAGGACACTTAAGAAAGTGTTGACTTTTTTATTTAATTACTCCCAAACTAAAATGAATTTTAAAAATATAATTTCACCATTCATCAACTAGATATAAAATTCACTTTCTCAATTTTTCTTGTACATTTTCTCAAAAGTTCGTTTTTTGGACCAAAATCCCCCTAGTGCACTGAACCTATAAACGTGGCAAAATTACAAATCTAATGCAATGTGTGCACTTGAAGGTGATAAGTCATTAATAAAAGGGTCCTAATTAACAAATAAAAGTGGGTAACAAATGTGTTCTATCGATTCCCCCACACTTAGCTTTTGCACTCTGGGCAAAATCAAGTGAAAAAGGTCCTAAAAGAAACTATAAGACAAAGAAATAAGAGAAAAACATTGTTTCAAGTCACTAAAATACTAGCTCATGAACTTCTACAAATTATCAATCAATGTGGCAATAATTAGGAAAGAATTATGCACATCACAAACAAACCCTTACCAAGAATCAATGTCAAAGAGTAAGCCTCTCTAGGTTAAGTGTTTGCTCTCATCAGTCAAAGTGTATAAGGTATTAAATTTCACTCAAAATTTTTTAGGATAAACCCTACTATAAATTTGTAACCCTTCTACATCTCCATCACTAAATAGCACTTACAATCAAGAATCAAGTGGACTTTATTAGGTTGTGATACAGGTAATGAAAGGATGTCTAAAAAATGCATGTATATAAAAAAATAGGGTTAGCATCACAATAATGCTAAATCAAGATATATCCCCTTAATATGCAAAGCATAACCTAACTCAATTGAGTGAACACCTTAACACAATGAGGATGGAAAGAAATGATAAGAAATAATAAAACAAATAGAATAGATGAGCTAGGCAAATTTTTATTTTTATTTTTATTTTTTTTTCTTTCTTCTTTTTTTTCTTCTTCTTTTTGTTTCTTTTTCTAGCAACTTTATTTCTTTTCTTTTTGACTATATTTTTTTTTCAAATCTATCTTTGTTGTTTTTTTTGGTTGCCCCTAACTCTTTGAAAACAATGGAAGTAATGGATAGAAAAATAATAATAAGCATCCACTCATTTGAACTAGGACATGTAATAAATATTAAAAAGACATATAAAAGTGTAACATGCATTCCTTGGGGAAAAATAGGGTGAATATTTTTTTTTTAAGAATCAAACCAAAGGCTCAAAGTGGCTAATAAAGGATAATAAATAATAATAGGTTGGCTATTTGGCTCTTGGCTATTTTTTATGAATGCCATCTCTCATCTTCTACCAAACAAGTGCAAGATATATGGTCTTAATTAAGAAGTGAAACAAATTCTAGAGGGTAACATCACTAAGCAATTAATCACACATGAGTGTTTAGTCTCTTCCATGAAAGGGTAATATGCCACTCTAATCCATTAATTCAAGGTAAAAGAATGTTCACTTCACACCTATTCAATCCTAAAAATTACCACATCTCAAGAATCAAAATATCCATTCAAGAGCTAGGTAATTTAAGTAACCTCAAACAAAACAAAACAAAGCAATTTTTTTTTAATTTTTTTTAAATTTTTTTTTTACAAAACCAAACAAACAAAACAAAATGTTTATTTCTCTCCCCCACTCTTAAATCATGCATTGTCCTCAATGTATGTATAGACTAGTGATAAAATAAGGTGAGATTAATAATGAATGCATAACAAAAGTGTGTTGCAGAATTTTTTTTTTTCAAACTAAAGCACAAGACAAAGAAGTCAAATAAAGAAAATAGACTCTAATTTTCCTACTAGGTTCATCTCCCCCACACTTGAACTATACCTACCATTAAATATATCAATTAAAGGAAAGTAAAAGCTCAAGGTTGGAGAGATACAACCTTATCATGGTGGTTCAAAAATATGTTGAGAGAAGTCCTCCTCCTTTTGAAGTGATTTGGCATCTTTACAGAGCTTGCATAGGTGACCATTGATTTGCATGGTGGAACCCGTGGCTTTATTCAAGAGTTGCAAAACCCCATAGGGAAACACCTTGGTCACTAGATATGGTCCCTCCTACTTAGACTTCAACTTGGCATGCTTATGAATAAACCTTGTTTGGAACAAGAGGACTTGATCTCCTTCTTGAAACTTTTTCCTCAAGATTAGAAGGTGATAAATCATTAATAAAAGTGTCCTAATTGACAAATAAAAGTGGGTAACAAATGTGTTCTATCAATTCCCCCACACTTAGCTTTTGCACTCCGGGCAAAATCAAGTGAAAAAGGTCCCAAAAGAAAACTATAAGACAAAAAAAAAAGGAGAAAAAAAAATGTTCAAAGTCACTAAAATACTAGCTTATGAACTTCTACAAATTATTAATCAATGTGGCAATAATTAAGAAAGAATTATGCACATCACAAACAAACCCTTACTAAGAATCAATGTCAAAGAGTAAGCCTCTCTAGGTTAAGTGTTTGCTCTCATCACTCAAAGTGTATAAGGTGTTAAATTTCACTCAAAATTTCTTAGGATAAACCCTACTATAAATTTGTAACCCTTCTACATCTCCATCACTAAATAGCACTTGCAATCAAGAATCAAGTGGACTTTATTAGGTTGTGATACAGGTAATGAAAGGATGTCTAAGAAATGCATGTATATAAAAAAAATAGGGTTAGCATCAAAATAATGCTAAATCAAGATATATCCCCTTAATATGCAAAGCATAACCTAACTCAATTGAGTGAACACCTTAACACAATGAGGATGGAAAGAAATGATAAGAAATAATAAAACAAATGGAATGGATGAGCTAGGCAACTTTTTATATTTTTTTTCTTTCTTTTTTTTTTATTTCTCTTCTTCTTTTTGCTTCTTTTTCTAGCAACTTTATTTCTTTTCTTTTTTAATATTTTTTTAAATCTCTCTTTGTTTTTTTTTTGGTTGCCCCTAACTCTTTGAAAACAATGGAAGTAATGGATGTAATGGTGTAGCAATAAAGGATAAAGAGTAATGGATAAAAAAATAATAATAGGCATCCACTCATTTGATCTAGGACATGTAATGAATATTAAAAAGACATATAAAAGTGTAACATGCATTCCTTGGGGAAAAATAGGGTGAATATATATATATATATATATTTAAGAATCAAACCAAAGGCTCAAAGTGGCTAACAAAGGATAATAAATGATAATAGGTTGGCTATTTGGCTTTTGGCTATTTTTATGAATGCCATCTCTCATCTCCTATCAAACAAGTGCGAGATATGTGGTCTTAATTAAGAAGTGAAACAAATTCTAGAGGGTAACATCACTAAGGAATTAATCACACATGAGTGTTTAGCCTCTTCCATGAAAGGGTAATATGCCACTCTAATCCATTAATTCAAGGTAAAAGAATATTCACTTCACTCCTATTCAATCCTAAAAATTACCACATCTCAAGAATCAAAATATCCATTTAAGAACTAGGTAATTAAGTAACCTCAAACAAAACAAAACAAAGCAATTTTTTTTATTTTTTTTAAATTTTTTTTTTTTGCAAAACCAAACAAACAAAACAAAATGTTTATTTCTCTCCCCCACACTTAAATCATGCATTGTCCTAAATGTATGTATAGACTAGTGATAAAATAAGGTGAGATCAATAATGAATGCATAACAAAAGTGTGGTGCAGATATTTTTTTTTTCAAACTAAAACACAAAACAAAGAAGTCAAATAAAGCAAATAAACTCTAATTTTCCTACTAGGTTCATCTCCCCCACACTTGAATTATACCTATCATTAAATATATCAATTAAAGGAAGGTAAAAGCTAAAGGTTAGAGAGATACAACCTTATCATGGTGGTTCAAAACATGTTGAGAGAAGTCCTCCTCCTTTTGAAGTGATTTGGCATCTTTGTAGAGCTTGCATAGGTGACCATTGATTTGCATAGTGGAACCCGTGGCTTTATTCAAGAGTTGCAAAACCCCATAGGGAAACACCTTGGTCACTAGATATGGTCCCTCCCACTTAGACTTCACTTGGCATGCTTATGAATAAACCTTATTTGGAACAAGAGGACTTGATCTCCTTCTTGAAACTTTTTCCTCAAGATTAGCTTGTCATGAAGGATCCTTATTTTCTCCTTATAGATTCTAGAAGACTCATAGGCATCCAACCTAAGCTCCTCAAGTTCTTGCGTTGAAGAAATCTCTCCTTAGCCGAAAGATGGAAATCCAAGTTTAGTTTCTTGATGGCCCAATAGGCCCTATGCTCTATCTCCACAAGGAGGTGGCAAGCCTTCCATACACCAATCGAAAAGGAGACATGCCAAGGAGTCTTATAAGCAGTCCGATAAGCCCACAAAGCATCCTCTAGTGTAAAGACCAATCCTTCCTATTTGTGTTCACCACCTTGGTTAGGATCTTCTTGACTTCTCTATTTGATACTTCAGCTTGGCCATTAGTTGGGGATGATACGGTGTAGAGACTTGTTGATGCACCCCATATTTAACTAAAAGAGCCTTCATCATCTTGTTGCAAAAGTGGGATCCTTGGTCACTTACCAGGCCTTAGGAACTCCATACCTATAAAAAATATTAGATTTGAGAAACTTCAAAACAATCTTAGCATCACAAGTCTAGTAGGAATGGCTTCAATCCACTTTGAAACATAATCAACACCAAGTAATATGTACTCAAAACTAAGGATGGTGGAAAGGGACCTATGAAGTCAATGCCCCAAACATCAAAAATCTCACAAAAAAAAATGGGTTGAGGCATTTCTTGTCTCTGACCCCAACTACTAACTTTTGACATTTAAGCATGCTTTACAAAATTTATAAGAGTCTTTAAACAAGCTAGGCCAATACAATCCACAATCTAAAA